GACTTCTTAATTTTTTATGAAAAAATGTTTAAAAAATAAAAAGAAAAGAAAAATTTTGACTTTTTAACATAAGTTGTTAACTTTTAAATTTTTTAATAACTTTTTAACTTTTAAATTAAAAAATCATAGTACCAAACGAAACTTAAATATATAAGTGCCATTTTGACAACTTGCCAAAAAAATTGCGTTTTGTATCCATTTTACCATTAAAACCATTTGAGGAGATAAAAAAAAATTATTGATAAAATTATAACTATACCCTTTATAGATCAAAATGAGCCACATATAAATAAAATTATAAATTTACTAAATTAGGTGAAGATGTTTTAATTATTTAATTATGATATGATAATATAATAAATATTAATCAAAAAAATTAAAAATAACTTTTTATCAAATTTTCAAATCATATCAAAAACAACCAAAAAAAACTTGACAAAAAGTCAAACCAAAACACCCCTAAATCACTTTTCTTGTTCTGTAATTACTTTTTCAACCTTCACTCTTTTGTTTTTTGTTTTTTGCTTTTTTTTTTTTTTTTTTTTTTTTTTTTTTTTTGTTTTGATATTCTCCTCTCTTTTTTTTTGGACAGACACTGAAAAGGACAACGTCGAGGAAACGCCCGGATCGGACGGCTGAGATGGGTCGAGTAAAAGAGTCGTACGGTGGCAGAGGGGGAACATGACCACGTTGGTGTCTGTCACAAATTTTACGTGAGACGATGTGACCGGTTGACTGAATATGGGCCCCATTATTATTTGTCAATTATATGTTAATGATGACAAGTAGTTAGAGAGAGCAAAAACAAGAGTGTGGGGGCTCTCTCTCTCGGAGTTTGGGGATTTTTTTATATGTTTTTCTTTTAGAAAATGCTAAGACTCAGTCTATATTTATATGTAAGGGTGGCAGAGGGGGAACATGACCACGTTGGTGTCTGTCACAAATTTTACGTGAGACGATGTGACCGGTTGACTGAATATGGGCCCCATTATTATTTGTCAATTATATGTTAATGATGACAAGTAGTTAGAGAGAGCAAAAACAAGTGGGGGCTCTCTCTCTCTCTCGGAGTTTGGGGATTTTTTTATATGTTTTTCTTTTAGAAAATGCCAAGACTCAGTCTATATTTATATGTAAGTATTTATCAAAAAATTTAATAATTTTTTTTGAGATTCTTAACCTTGCTTTTTTCTTTTATGATAAATGCTAACAAATATCTTTATATATTATTTAATGCTAAAAAATTGTATATAAAGTGTTTTAAAAATATATTATTTCTAATAAAAATATATTGAATTTAATAAAACTGTTTTTGTATCTTTTACCTTTTATTTATGTCTGAAGAGTACTCATTAGAAACACTTGGGTTGCGTTTGGTAGAGTTTTCTAAATATGATTTGAGAGTAGGAATTGTATTTTGAGTTTGTGAGTTTTGAAATTATAATTTGAGTGTGGAAAAAGAGTTTTGAAGAGAGTTTTGAATTGAGTGGAGAATTTTTTATATGACATATAATATTTGATACAAAAATTTACAACTAATAACTAAACATACAACTCAAAATTCTATTAAAACACATAAAAAAATTTAAAATTCGAAAAATATTTTTTTCGAATATATAAAAATTAACATATGTCCATTGTAAAAAAAAAAAAAAAAATTTATTTGCATCGTTCCAGTCAAACGGCCGGACGACCGGTTAGTCTAAATTTTCTCGCATTCGACCAAATTTTCAAAAGTGAATGTGAAATTATAATTTAAAACTCCTAAACAAACGTGAAACGCAAATGATATGATGGAATTGTATTTTGAGAATACAACCAAACAGATATGACTTTTCAAATTTTTATTTTCTTTTTTAATTTTTTAAAGGGTGATGTACCAGTACATTTTTGTAGTTGAGAAATTTATTAGTATTTAATGCTTGGATATGGATTGTAAATGGTGGATGGACCATGTTGTTGGCCCATTTGACTTTATTATGGGATTCACTCTTTTATGAAACGGTTCTATCAGTTAGCTTCTTTCTTTTCTTTTTTTCTTTTCTTTTTTAATTTATAAGAGAAATATTATTCAGAAAAATAATATTTGATTTATTTAATAATCATAACAACAATGATAGAGATCACTAATTTTGAAGCTCTAAAAAGGCCACTAATGACATGACACTCAATAAAAAAAGAAAAAAAATACAATACCAAGGCCAAAACATCAAATCATTCGTGGTAGGACCCACTGCCACATCATTAGTGATAGCACTAATGGAATAATTATACTGTAATTCTGTGATTATAATTATTGAATATTACTTTGTTTATGAATAATTTATCCATATAAATTACAAGATTAGAAGATTGAATTACTAAATTGACTTTGGTGCTGGGCCCAAGTACGATCCAATCCATAAAAGGAAAAATATTGTAGGTATCATTTAGTAATATTTGTGGTTTAGTTTTTTGTTTACATAAAGGAGAGATATATTTTCTAGCCAAAAATAAATAAATAAATAAAGCATAGATATATTTATTTTTAGCAAGAAAAATTAAGTAAAAAAATAAAAATCATGTTTGGTGCTTGTATATTTTTTAAACACTTATTTTGAAAGTGGCTAACTAACAGGGGATAAGAAGTGATAGCTAACAGTTAGAGGTGGGGTCTAACCACAAGGGTGGTACGTAGGCGGCGATCGGGTAGTGACCAGAAGTGGAGGGGGGCAAGTGATGGCTATGGAAGGTTATCGGTGGTAGGTGACCAAAGATGGTGGCTAATAGTAACGGGTGAGGGGCACTAGGGTGGCTAGATGAAGTGGTGAAGGGGAAAGAAATGAAAACTTGTTTTGAGAGAGAGAGAGAGAGAGGAAAAAAATATTTTTTTCTATTTAAAGAATTTAATAATTTTTTTGTAAATTCATTACATTTTTTTTTGTAAGTAACAAATAAGTTTTTATTTTATTTTTTTGAATTTTTTTAACAAACATACAAAAGAGAAAATAAACGTTACAAAGTGGGGCCTTAAGAGATGTTTATTTGGTGGGATGAGACAATGGGATTAGATTCCATGTCTAATAAAGTTGATAGTCTAATGTTTGGTTGGAAAAGTGAAGATCGGACTAATAGTCCGGTTAGACTAATAATCCCTCATATATGGGTAAGTCAATCCCATGGAGGGTGTGGGAGATAGAAATGGGCGGACTATGCCAATCTTCGGATTAACTAGTTAAATGAGAAAATTAACCCTCTAGTGTATATATAATTTATTTCTTTCATTTTTATAATTTTTTTTAAACATGTTGAATTTTTTTAAATATGTGTAAATTAATGTAAATTAATCTCACGATATTTTAATAATCTTCTCTTACTTCTTTTTTTTTTTTTTTTCTTTTTTGTATTAGCAAAATCATTAATGAATATATACTTCTAATGTCATATTTAAATAAAATTAAAAGTGGTCTTTGTAAAATAAAATAAAATAAAATATTCTTCAAATTCAGTATTCCATTGTAAACAATTTAAACAATATACTTCATAATTTTCAAATTAAACATGAGATTCACTAAAATAGTCATTTCTAAACATTTAATCCCATAAAAAAACAAACATGGGACACACATAATTTTCAGTCAAATAGTCTAAAAACTATATATCCCAGGACTATCAGTCCGTTACATAAAAATATCTCATTATCCAGTCCGTCCAAACAAATATGGTCTTAATGTTTTGTTTCTTTTTTGGCCTAGCAATGACTATCTCATTTTAAATCACAGAAGGAAACAAGCAATCAAAGGACTTCTAACAAAGCCAAGAGATTGTTCACACGATATTTGAAAATTATATGGGTCTTAGTAAAACCTTTACAAGTTTTTAAACTCAAATTATGCTGAAAAAAGGTAGCTTTTTGAAACTTTGAATTTGAGAAGATTTTTTTTAAGTAAATATTTTTTATTAATGCCAACAAGATTTACCAAACAGGGCCATAATCCTATTTTGAGTGAAGATAGGCTGATACAGCATGTAGATCCAACGACCCCTTTGGCCCAATGGGCTCAGAATGAGGTCCACATGGCTGCTTGCTTGGTTAAGCACCAATAAATCCAGAGACACCTCCTAAAGTCACACGTGGTTCACATGTCAAAATTTTATATTGTGAGTCCCAGCACTTTACGATTAGATGACGAATGGGTAATTATTATTCATCAATCCAAAAGCATCACGTAGCATTATCTAAATAATACTTCACCCAATTACATAGAAAAATTTTAAACTTGATTTTTTATTATCACCTAAGAAATAATTACACTCAAAATATCTAGAAATTTTTCAGAAATCACACTTTTCTCTTCCAAACTAGATATTTAAAATGAATTCTACTCAAGAATTTGTATCATTTTGACATTAAACGAGCTGCGTTGGTATGGAATAAGAAGGATTACTAATTTATGGAACAAATCTTAAAACGGGTAACTTAAAAAAAATAATAAGACATCTATTTAGATGTCAAATATTGATAGATAAATAAAATCACTAATAGAGAATGGCTATCGTTGACTCAGTGTTATTAAAATGGACAACCATAAGTAAGTAAAATCATTAAAAGAGCGGCTACCGTTAATTGAATGTTACTAAAATGGGCAGCCATGAACATCAAGTGCAATGCATAACGCTATGTTTCGAATCCGACATCACTTAACAAAAGACTTGACCATGTCAATTTGAAAAGTACAAAAAGTCAACTTTTTAACTTATTTAGATCACATCACCCCATCATTTTTTTTTGAAAAAGAAAAAAATTTAATAAGCTAACTTTTTTTCCTACTTTCCAAAACAATAATGTAAATATAAACTTATGAAGACACCCTTCCCTTGGAACCCAATTGTCGAGTCTGTTTTTTAAGAGTTATGTCAAGTCAGTTTTTAAGAGTGAGTTTTAAGCATGCGGACCAGATATCTCAAGCGTATTTGACTCATGATATACCAAACACAAACAAATTTACACTGGAGAAAGATGAATGCAAGACAAAGAACCCCAGAGCATGGATAACACTATACCCCAAAAAACTGTTGCAACCAATAACTTTCTTCAAATTGGAAAAAGCAACGTTGGCAAATTTAAAAAACAACACAACAAGAAATTGAATCCCTCTTTCATTTCAAGCCAAGCGCAAATGACAATTTTGGCCGGGATTTGTTCTTGCCCAACAATTTCATCTGGTTTGCACGTTCTTCCTCCTCTTGTTGCTTCTTCCTTCGCAGGGCCTCTTCTTTTTGTCTTTGCAGCTCCTCCAGTTCTCTGTACCGTTCCTCCTCCCTCCTCTGCTGCTCTAAAGCTTCCCTCCTCTGAGCTTCTTCCACCTTCCTCCTGTTCTCTTCAATCATCCTCTCCAGCTCTTCCTTCTCTTTTCGAGCTTGTTCCTGCACCCCAAAAAAAACACAAATTCCTGTTATTTTCCTCACATTGCAGAAGATCAAGAACTGTGTTGTTGCTTTGGCGGGGACTGGAAACAATAGCAGCTTTTAAATTTCAAACAAAAGTATGCAGCAGTTGTATCCCAGAACAATTTTGTCTTCCCTATAAAGGCCAAGCCAATCTTGTCGAGATTCAATTTGAACTGTTTTGTAGTACTTGTTTATATTTACAGAATTTTTGAAAACTGTAAATAAAAACTCGTTTAATTTTTGTTTTTGCTTTTAAAAAATGGTAAAAATTTGTAAACAAAAAAAGTTGGTTTTCCTTGTTTATTTATTTATTTCATTTCTTCATCTTCTCCCAACCTTTCTAACCACTGCCCATAGCTCATCACTATCGGCTACCATCGCCGATGACCTCCTCTGCCAACCAGCTCTGGCCACCACCTCTTGTCAGTGCTGCCAACTACCTCCCACCGGCAGTAACCACCATCAGCCACCCACCTCCCACAACTAACAACAACCTCCGGCCACCATCTCCAACCATCAACCACCACCTCCCATAGCCAACCCTTGTCACTTATTTTCAAAACAAAATTTTAAAAGAGTAATGCTTGGTAGCTCGAATATGAAGTTGGCTCGAATGACTCAAAATTCACTTTGCCGGTCGTCCGGGCGGACGTCCGGGCAGTCGTCCGGTGAGGAGGTTGACAGCCGTTATTGACAATGGTGACAACCGCGGTAGACAATCTTTCACCCGGTCATCCGGGCAGACGTTCAACCAACATAAATTCGGGCCATTCGAGCCCCTCCAATTCGAGCTACCACTCTTTTTCCAATTTAAAATACTTATGTACCAAACATGTTTTTTATTTTTGCCCAAAATAAACATAAACATGTTTAATGTTTTCTGTAAACTAAAACAAAACTATAAACATTACCAAACATCTAATAGTGTTTGGTTACAATTTAAATTTATAACTAAATTTGACCTTTTCAACTAATTTGACCCAGAAAAGTGGGAGAAAAAACTTTTTTTGAGCTACAATTTGTAACTCTATTTGTTTTGTTTTGTTTGTTTTTGCTTATTTGAAACCCTATATATACGAACAAAAGAGACCAAAAAAAAGAGCCTAATCTCTTTTGTTTTAATTATAACTTTTGAGGACATTGTGAGTATTTACACAATAAAAGTGCTAAGTGACAGCTTTAGTAAACCCAATATGTTCAAATTTTTTCACATAATATCACAAGTGGTGCCAAACAGATTTACAACTTATTTCAAACCTTTTAAACTAATAATCTAAAAGGCTATTATCATAAAAGCTAACTTATAAGTGATACCGAACAGGCCCTTTGTTGATGGGTAACTGCAAGACTACCAACAAAACATAAAAAAATAAGAAAGGAACTAGGGAAAAAAAAAAAAAATTAAGATACTAGCCTCTTTTCGTCTTGCCTCAATAAGAGCAGCTTCCTTCTCCTTCTCAAGTTGAGCTGCAACCTCATCAAGAAGTTTCTTCCGACCTTCCTCCAATCGCCTCTGTACTTCCAGCTTGATCTCCTCACAGTTCAAGCTGACTTCAACTTTCTTCCGTATGGCTTCTTCCACTCTTTTTGCAGTTTCTTCTTCTATCAGTTTCATTTCCGCCTCTTGTTGACGCCTGATAGAACAAGAGGGAAGTTACGCAAGAAATGGCCACTGAGGCTGGGACAGTGGAGGAAAATACAGCATTTTCAATTCCACAAATGCCTGTTGAAGCCAGGTAACAGCAAAACTGAAATGGCAACTGACATAGCAAACTTCCCTTTTTCCCTCTCTACTTATTATACATATACTGAATGACAAACTAACCTTCATGATGACAAAGGCACAAAAATTATGCTCATGCTTTTAAGGCATACCTCTAACCGATTCCTGATCCAAACAAATGAGTTTCAAAACTGGTGAACAGTAGATAAACGAAGCATCCAATTGATCATCAAATATAACAAGTTGAACTATAGCAGTATCTTCCTTCAAAAAAGCCTGTGGAGAAGAATGTCAAAGTAACCTGTCGCAGTTTTAAAACTAATCATCATAATACTTGTATCCTAGCATTATATAGTGTTTTGTCAAAGCAAAATTCTAAATTGTCTAAAATATATACCGCCATAGCTTTATGCTGATTAGGTGTTAGAAAGGAATGACAAAAGCCAGTAATTCCACTGTGTGCAAAATTATTTAGAGGAATAGTCAAGCCATGTTTGGTATGACGAAAAGATGGAAGCAAAAAGGGGAAGGGAAGAAAGGAAGGAAAGAGGCATCTTTCATTTGTTTTGTAGGAGAGATGAGAGTAGGTATTGGAAGGGATAGGAGGGGCAAAGAAATCATCTTGCACCCAAAAAAGCCAATCTGCCCAATTTTTTTGTGTAAGATAAGAGGGGACCGAAAGCTCAGAAGCACAGACACTTCTAAGGTGTGTCCATGTCCGACACGTTCCGACACCGACACTCATCAAACACTTCACAGCATGTGTCAAAACACAACTCCAGATGCGTCGTACTATTTTTTTAAAAAAACTTTTTAGACACAAAAACACTGGACACTTGGGGACACACATGTCCATCATTTAGATACACATGAGACACATTATAAGGATACAATGATAAAAGGAAAACAATATAGATTTATGCATATTAATCTCCCCTCATCTAAGTTTTAGGATTTAGTATTACGTTGCATTTTCTAAAATTTAACATCTCGGCATGTCTGTGTCATGTTAAAGTGCCGTGCCCGTGCCCGTGCTTCTTAGAGGAAAGAGCTTCCTCCCTCTTTAGTACATTAAATCAAATTATTGCCTTTCAATTTCAGGTTAATTTTTTAACACAATGAAAATGTAATTTTGAAAACGATATCAGATCCATTCCTTCCACCAAATGAAACATATTGGCTGGAACACACAACCCATTCACAGGGTATTGCTATTCCATTGTTGCTCCGTTCCATTCCTACTTTCTAACCCTTGTACCAAACACAGCATTAAAGTTTGATAATCTACGATTGCAACTTTGGCAGGTAGGACAAGTTCCAGGTTAACTCACATCCAAACCAAAGACTTCATTGACACCCATAGGCCAACATATCCCAAGCCAACTCAGTTTTTTCAACCCCATACTCTCATCCAGGCTAATGCAATCTCCATATCTTATTCACGTTAAATAAACTTCCTAGATAGTGCACAAAAAAAATATAACTAAAAACACACAATCTAATGAGGCCAAAATATAACTAAAAATATTGATTTTCTCCACCAATGAAGCCAAAATGGATTGGATCTCTCCACAAGTGTACCATCATTAGCAACCAAGCTTCAAGATGCCAGAAAGTCTGCCAATCAACTTACTTAGACAGTGTGGGATTAAATTCACCTTCACCAAGGTTGAGGGCTATCCTGTTCAATAGCCTTGACTTCTGACCAATTTTCATGAATGCCTTGATGATATACGAGTTAAAATAAAGAAAAATACAACAAAAAAAAAAGGGTGGGGGGGAATTTTTGAAAGCTAAAGAAATTAAGCCATATGAAAACATAAGTCAATATTAAAAACACAAACTGAAATCTTGTCACTTGCAAGAGGAATGATATTTTAATACAAGAAAGAATGATGATATTATACTTTGTCAATAATACTAATTTGCAAACATCTCATTTTCATAATGCCTTGACAATAAAGCCTCAGCTCTATCCAAACCAAAAAAACATGCATTATCATGCATTTTTCCTCCATTTGCATTTTCATACATTTTTCAAAAAAAAAAAAAAAAAAAAAAAATTTGCAAACCCTAGCTCACCATTTTTTATTTGGTAGCACTTCAGCAGCTTTAGGATCAACATACCTCTAATGATGGCATTTAGCTACATTTCTTGTACTCAGAATGCACTCAACCACGTTCTGGTAACACGAGCATGGTTACCATAAAGAAAGCACGATGATCGCCAGGGTGTAATGTCCAACTCAGATGACAAATTGATCTATGAAGAGTCAATAATGTCCTCAAAGAATGGATCCACACCCTGACAGCTTGTTGAAAAGATTTCCAAGAGAGAAGAAAAAAAAGAAAAAAAATCTATGCAAAGCTGGAAATGGGCAATTCTTAAAAGGACTACACTCAGTATTTGGGGCTCAAGAAACGTTCTCCAAAATGCAGGAGGATAACTTCCTTTGCAATCACATTTACTTGATACCATAAATTGCTAACAATACGCAATCTTGATGCCAGACAATCACATAAAAAAACAAAAAATTATGCTAGAATTAATTAACCTTTGTGACAAAAAACACTTAAATTACTAGCACCCAAGCTTATTATTTTCCCGTTTTAAGAAAATATGTACCTAAAAGTAACCTTTTTGCCCAATAAATCATTAAAAGAGAGAACATGGGAAAGGCCAAAATACATTGATGACAACTTTATTTTGCACAGATGATAAATGGTAATGAATCAATAACCAGTGACAACTTTCCTTTCGTCACTTCAAGAACACCCAAACAATGTAGTATTGAAGATCACAAAATAAAAAATAAAAGCATACCAAAAAAACCTAATTCCATGTAAACAAGAGAATAGAAATTACTTTGCCCTGAAAATCTTTAAAAAGGTACAAGTAATTATAAAAATGCATAGCCCAGATTATGGACCTTAAACTGGATTTGGATAAATCCTTCCAATATTCTACAGATAAATAACGCATGAAATGCTGCTCATGTGAAGCAATCATTATCAAAATTTCGTTGCACCACAATATGCCCATTTCACTTGGCAGCTATGAGGTTGAGTCTTTGAATACCAAGTCTAGCGTTATTAAAAATTAGGAAGAGAGCGTCGTAAAGGTGAACTTCAAGAAAGTATTGTAGAACATACATTGGGAGTGTTTGGGAAGCTAAAAATTGGCTTTTTTGGCTAAAATCTACAGAGAGATAAAATAGGCTAAAATAACCCATAAGATAAAATGTCACATCAAACCCATAATAATTTCACTTTTTTTTCTCACAAACATTACATCCAATTACAAAAAATCTAACCCTCTTCTCAAACACAAATATATTAACCTACTAAAATAGTCAAAAACTAAAATAGCCTACTAAAATAACCGATTTCCCAAACAAGCCAATTAAGTTGAGCATACAAACAAAACCTTTTGATAATATATACAGGTTCACTGTAAGGCCTCCTATTTTCTTAAAGAACCTGCAATGCACACTTATCCTATAAAATAGAAGGTTCTCTTAAGTTTTATTTGTCTCATGTTATTCTTTAGCTCAGGTACAATGGAATTAACATTGTGAAAAGGCATCCACTCCGAAGCAAAGGAAAAAAATTGAAGCTGCAAGGTAATTGAAATGTGGCTAATGGCTTTATTAAGAACCAAGGAACTACCATGTGTTTGTCATTCTCATCCAAAAATAAAATAACTAGAATGACAAAACGTACATGTATCTAAACACAAATATGCAAGAAAAATATGCTAAAATGCAGATCACTATAACTTGTGCACAATCAGAAATGCAAGTTCAGGTTGCAGTTTATCTACAGTACATAATAAAAAATAAAAAAGAAGAAGCCATTAAGCCAGTACAAGTGTGACCTGTGTACTTTCAAAATGCACAGATAAGGATAGAAACAAACATACTATATTCTAAGGATGTACAAAAAGAAAAAAACAATAAAGAAATATTAAAAAATTTTAATCAGGATAAGAACATAGAGCAATTAATATACCTTTTCTTCTCTTCTTCTTTTCTCAGTTTTTCACTGGCACTTTTGGTGCCTATTGACCCGCTACTTGGACTACGAGATTTACTTATAGGAGACAATGAGGTATTAATACTTCTTTGTCTCTTATAACGCCTCGGTGTTGGAGAGCGAGTTTTACGCCGGCTTGGAGTTGGAGAACGACTTTTGTGGCGTCTAGGGGAAATTGACTGACTTCTTCGTCTGTGCAATAACATATAAGTTACTGAGCAGCAATTACAATTTTGGGAATTGTGGCATATACATTATAGCACCATGCCAAGACACCATCTAGCACAATAAGTATAGAAGCATGTACAATTACCTCAAACATTGCTAAGAATAAACTGGGTGCTCCCTCTTTTATCACATGAAACTGATAAAGAATCTAGCAACGAAAGGACACCAATCGGCACCCATCACCTGCTCACTTCCCATTTGAAGGGAAGAAACTGCCTTTTTTAAGTTTCTAGGAAAAACAAATGTGTTCTATCTTACTCATGTATACACTATTATTGATGTTATGCTACAAATTTCTCCTTTTAGCATATTTCCACTATGCATCGCAAAGATAAAACTCTCCAGAAGTTGGACAAATAGACAACCCCTACTGCTTACAAATTGAGTAGCATAATCATCAGATTGAGTTAAAAATGGACAATACTTGTAGAAGGCATCATCGTCAACAACTATAAGCATAGTCATGGGAAGCGAAGACTCTCAGAGCAGCAACATGTCATAAGCAATACAAAGAGTATACAACTATCCATACCCATCTGCTATAAAATGTAAAGGCAATAACATGAGCAACACCATGTGAAAATTCATGTCCAATGAGATCAAGTTCATTCTTTTTTTGGAAACTCAAATTTGACAAACAAGTTTAATAAAGATTTAAACTTGTTTACTCTACAAAAGCACAATTTGTTTTCAATACCGTAGTGTCAGTGCTCAGAATTCCCGAGAGAAATAAGTTCTGCTCCCAATTTCAAATTAACCACGACACAACCCAAGTGCATTCCACTGATCATCAAATCCACCTATATTTTTGGCTCAAGTATAAAACTACATAATCCTAAACTCTCGGATCAATTGAAAACTCTTTTAAGTTTGTGTTTGGATCATAAATTTGTAGAGGGATTTACAAAGAAAAATAATAGGAAACCAAATAAAGACATTTACTTTTTCCCCTTGATTATCTTCTTATCTTTCCCATTACCTTTTTAATCCATGATCCAAACACACCCTAATCGAATCAGATACCTACTGTACGACCAGACTGAATCCAAATTCGATTCCACAAGAGTCAATAAGCAAAGTTTGAGCTAAAAAAAAAAACGAAGTAATCGGGTATCACCTGCTATAAGAATGTGGAGATCGGCTTCTATCTCTTCTGCTTCTCCGGCTATACCTGTGCCCCACAGGGGACGTCGACGGCGAATACCTTCGCCGGTACAACGGCGACCTCGACAAATCCCTATCCCTAGCCATCTCTCTATCTCCTCCACCACCACAACCACTACTGATTATGCAACACAAGAAATATCACCTGCAAAATCAAAATTTTCCATTGTCAATAGTGCCTGGAAAGATTTTCCTGGAAAATATATTATTCAATGTGTCCCGAGTTCCTTTTTTTTCATTTTTTGATAATTTAGTTTAGATTTGTTGGAAAAACTTTCCCCGATGTTTTCCGTCAAAACAAACAGGAATCCGTAGAGGAGGTTTTACCTTCAGTTAGATGAATCGGATCTGGACATGGCGATCGTTTCATGGACTGCGTAAACCCTAAGAGAAAGAGAGATTGGAAATTGCGCGAACAGATACTAGTCTGTTCGCGACGGAGGATTTGACGAAGGAAGGTAGGGCTAGGTTTCTTCTGCGTCCAAACAGAGGTGAAAGGTGAGTGAGGTTGGAGATGAGGAAATTGGCTTTGACTTTTGTGTGAACCTAGCAATGGCTTTTGCTTCTTTAAAAAAACAGGGGGGTTAAATTAGACTTTTCATTTATTAAATTTGAACTAAAATTTATTTTAATCTTTATAGTTTTAATTTGTATATTTTGATTTTTATATTTTATGTTTAGTTTCAATTTAATTATTCGGTCTAAGTTGGAGATTAAAATTAATAATTTTAAAATATTTTATCAATTTTTTAATATTTTAATGTTCTCTTTTGATTTAAATTGAATATTAAAATAAACAATTTTAAAATATTTATTAATTTTTTAAGTTGTATGGGTAGGTAAAATTAACAAAAAATTAAACAAAATAATTAAATTGAAACTAGATTTAGAGTGTGGAAAACAAATTATTTAAATTAAAATTATAAAGATTAAAGTAAAATTTTAATCAAATTAAAAAATATAATTAATCAGGAAAAAAAACAAAAAAAAAAAAACCAACAACAACAACAAAAAAAAAAAAAAAAAAAAAAAAAAAAAAAAAAAAAAAAAAAAAACTTTTGCTTGAGAGGTTTGTTGAGTTGTGAAATCTAGTGATTATTTGGCATAACTTTAAAAAAAAAAATACACTCTTTTATTTTTTGGTCACATCATTTTTTTTATTTTTTACATATCTTTGTATAAAATTTTAAAACATAGGTTTATTTAGATTATTTCAAACACCATTCTGTCTGACAAATGACATTGGTGCTGTTTGGTGTAACTGTTAAAACAGATTATAGATTATACTTTAACAGATTATAGATTATGACTTTAATCAGAAGCTGTTAATCTGTTTGGTATAGCTGTTGGATTATAGGTTTAACTTGCTGAGTAGTATTTGTTAAATAAGCTGTGAAGTAGTTTTTTCAATTAATTTTTATTTTTTATTATTCACTATTTGTCTATATTTTTCATAAAAAACAATAATAATATTTAATAGTCCATTTGGGTCTTTTCTTATTTTTAAAAAAATAAAAAATAAAAAAATCTAAGAGTATAACCGTGAATTAACATGTTCACAGCAGAAGCTGATAATCAGAAGTAAAGGGTGAGCAGCTTCTCAGAATCAGCTTTTTTGACTTAAAATAAGTTGTTAGAATCAGAAACTGTTTGAAATAAGTTTAACCAAACAGTCCAAAATAACTTTTTAAAAGTCAAAAGCCATAAATTAACTTAAAAAAGCTCCACCAAACACCCCCAATGCCTCATGTCCAACAGCATAATATAGAGAAATTAGACATTTGAAATTATATATATAAAAAAAAGAAACTTCAATTACTCAGAATTGAACTGTAGACACCCAAGAAGAACCAAAGGAGGCTGGGCAACCCAATTAGTCCAAATATACCACGTGAATCACAACGCGGCATAGAACGCGTTACCACTTTGACCCGAGTAAATCGACACTCGGGGCCCACCTAAAAAATAGACCAAACTTGAGGAAAAATTAACCATTTCCAACACGAGCTCCCATGGTGGCACCCCTCTGACACGCAAAGATGTATAACATTCTTCCAGTCACTCCCAATTTTCACAAGGGCAAGATTGAGAGCAAGGGCTATGACACACGCATGAGGCACGACAATCACCTCACCCTGACTTACACTATGTTTGGATTGGGTGATTTGAAGATAAAAGAAAAGAATTTAAGAGATGCATTTCTTTTACTTGTTTAGATAATTTAAGTGAAGATAAATAGAAAGAAACACATTTATCTTATAACTTTCATTTTCAATCTTTTCAAAAGCAGAGAGATTATGAGAAAAAAGAAATCAATAAATTCTTATATTTTCATAATACCAAATTTGTCCCTGTAAAAATAAAAGAAATAAAATGATTGACAAAATATAAAATGTTATTTTGATAATATAACTTAAAACAATTTTTATGTTCTTTTCTCTTATGAAATATAACCAAACAAAAATGATAGAAATCATAATTATTTCATTTTTTTTTCTTTTCTCTTCTAACTTAAGTAATCTAATATGTAATTTGTATAAGAAAAGCAAGTGAAGAGCCAAGAAAGAGAGGAACAGAGGCTTAGAAAGGAAAGAGAGAGAGATTGTGACTATAATTCCATATATTTATTCCAAGAGTTCCCTAACTATTTATAAACCAAATGAGAACATATCAACTGCAGGAACGAGAAAATACCAACTGCCGAAAATAACAATGGAAAATAATAATGCAAGAAAGATGTGGCACTAATTGTGGAATTGTGGAAGCAACCAATACACCCACTACTGAAAACAGCCTACACTAACTCCTATTCTTGAGGCAGCAGTTCCTATTCTCATGCTAAGGCTGCGAGGCAGAGACATATCATTCCTTCCCCATTGAATTATCCTTGTCCTCAAGGATAAAGTCAGGGTAAGACTTCGAAAAACGCCAACGATTCTCCCAGGTTGCATCTTCAATTGGCGTCCCAACCCATTTAACCAAAACCTCGGACTTGGGGCGATAAAGACCCTTTTGAACAATACAGGTGTCCAACACGGCCTCAGGTTGAGGAAGGACCTCGTGTGTGTCCGAAACTGGCGGAAGTTGGTGGGAGATAGTAGTGATAGGACCGACGTGTTTTTTGAGGAGACTAACATGAAAGACATCGTGGATTTGGGAATTCCCTGTTAGCTCGAGCTTGTACGCTACTGGACCAATTCGAGCAAGAACCTTATAAGGGCCAAAAAACCGAGGTGAGAGTTTCACAAAGCTGCGAGAAGCCACTGATTTCTGTCGGTACGGTTAGAGTTTGAGGTACACAAAATCGCCGACCTCAAAAACAAGCTCCCGTCGATGTTGGTCAGCTTGGGATTTCATTCAGTCACGAGCGACAGTCAAATTACGACGCAATACAGTGAGAATGTCATCACGGTTGCGCAAAAGGTCGTCAACAGCCTGCACTTTTGTTGTTCCTGGAATGTAGGAAAGTAAAGTGGGTGGAGGTAGACCGTACACAGCTTCAAAAGGGGAAATTTTGGTGGAAGAGTGAGTGGAAGTATTGTAGCTATATTCAGCCCATGAAACCCAGTCCATCCATTTCCTTGGCTACCCATGTGTGAAACACCGAAGATACTGCTCGAGCGTGCGATTAACTACTTCCGTTTGACCGTCGGTCTGTGGGTGATAGCTAGAACTCATGCAAAGAGCTGTACCCTGGATGTGAAATAAAGTTTTCTAAAATAAACTCATAAAAAATTTGTCACGGTCACTTATAATGGATGCTGGCATGCCATGAAGACGGACAATTTGTGCAATAAAGACTTTGGCCACGATTATGGCAGTAAAGGGGTGCTTGAGCGGTATGAAATGGGCATATTTAGTCAAGTGATCAACGACCACCATGATGACCGTTTGACCTTGGGACGGTGGCAACCCTTCGACGAAATCCATAGAAATGTCAGTCCACACTTTAATTGGTATTGGCAACGGGTGTAAGAGGCCGGCAGGGCGCAAACAATCAAATTTGCATCATTGACAAACATCACAATTTTTTATGAAGTCCTTAATCACAGTTCGCATGGAAGGCCAAGTAAAGCTTGAGTTAATGCGGCTCAATGTTTTATGATAGCCAAAGTGTCTGCCAACCGGTGATGAGTGATGTGTTGATAAAATAACCGGAAGTAATGGCGAAGAAAGACTCAAATAGATGCTCTCACCTTTGAAAAAAACCCCATCACGTAAAGAGTATTGTGGCTGGAGGTATGATGGTATGGATCCCAATAGTTGACTGTAGAATAGATCGATGGCAACCTCTTGTTGGAGCATGGCCCACCAATCCGCAACGAGCAACGACACAACGAGGAATTCTAGTTCGCCAACCCGTAAGAGAGCATCAGCACCACCATTCTCATTTTCCTTCTTGTACTCAATGGTATAATCATAGCCGAGAATTTTTGGTAACCACTGTGTTTGTACTGGCATTGTGATCCGTTGCTCTAACAAGTATTTTAAACTTCTCTGATCAATTCGGACAATGAATGGTTTGCCGATTAAATATGGTCTACACTTGCTAATGGCCTTAACTATTGCTAGCATCTCTTTCTCGTAAGTTGATAAAGCTAAGGCTGATGGTTTGAGAGGTTCACTGAAGTAAGCTATTGGTTGGTCTTGTTGTGACAAAATAGCTCCAATGCCTACCCCACAAGCATCGTATTCGATAACAAAATATTGTGAAAAATCTGGTAAGCGTAGGACTAGAGGAGATGTGAGAGCCTGTTTGAGTTGTGAGAACGTAGTGGCGTCCTCAAAAGTCCTTTGGAACCCATCTTTGGATAATAAGCGAGTGAGAGGCGCAGCAATCCCGCCAAAGCCTCTGATAAATTTTTGGTAGTATCCGGCTAAGCCAAGGAAGCCGCGAACACCTCGAGCGGAAGTGGGAGTTGGCCACTCGAGGACTGAACTAATCTTTCCGGGATCGACGGCCACCCCTGCCACTGAAATTAGGTGTCCCAAGTATGCCACCTGTAACACGCCAAAACAACATTTAGATTGTTTGGCAAACAACTGATTGTTGGATAAAACAAGAATGACCGTACGGTGGTGGCCTAGTTGGTCAACCCAATTTTTGCTGTACACTAAGATATCATCAAAAAAAAAAAACAGAACGAATTTCGTCAAGTAAGGTCGTAATAAGTCGTTCATCAAACTCTGGAAGGTGGAGGGGGCGTTTGTAAGGCCGAAGGGCATAACAACAAATTCGTAATGTCCGTCATGTGTGCGGAAAGTAGTTTTGTGTATATCAGCCCCGTGAACCCTTATTTGATGGTATTCGGCGCGGAGGTCTAGTTTAGAAAAATACCTGGATCCATGTAATTCGTCGAGGAGGTCATCTATGACAGGGATCGGGTACTTATCTTTGATTGTAATATTGTTGAAAGCTCGGTAATCAACACAGAACCGCCAACCACCATCCGCTTTCTTGACAAGTAACATCGGTGAAGAAAATGGACTCGTACTTGTACGGATCAGACCTGAATCCAGAAATTCCTTCACCATTCTTTCAATTTCTGTT